TGAATGAGTTATGCCTATGACAGCATTGAAAAAGATTTAAAAAAAGATTTATTTCGTCATCTTGTAAGGGCTAAATATACCAATTCGGCGGAAATTTCCCGCAATTTAATTACCCAGTTTGCTGATGATTTAGACGAAATTGCTTATAGCATTTGGTTTATTCCCAATCGCTTAATTTATGTGGCTTTCTCAATATTTTTCTTGTTGAGATTTGATTTCAATTTTGGAGGACCCGGCACTACTTTACCGCTTTTAGCCATCGTGGCCGGTTTATTTGCTATTCTTATTATCGTGGAGATTTTACTTTTCAAAAAAGCCAGCAAGTTATATATGGCGGCGAAAAAACGACAAGAAGAAGATAATAAAATTATCTACGAACGCATTAATAATTTAGAATATATTAAAGCGGTTTCGGGAGAAAAATATGAAGAAGAAAAAGTTGACCGACAACTGGACTCCACTTTTCGTCAGAATAAAAAATCGCTTTGGTATAGCACCTTGTTTAAAGCAGCTCCTCAATACATTATTATTCCGAATATCCCCACCTTTTTCATGGCCTTGACTCTGCTTTTTTACTCGTCAAGCCCCAAAATGGGAACCGTCTTTTTAATGGGTAATTTTGCCCGCTACTTTTTTTCGGTCCGCAGTTTAAATAATGAAGTAAACAAAATAATTGAGGCAATGTTAACTTTGGATGAACTTTCCAGTAGCCTAACCATTGTTAATGAGAGTGCTAAAATGTTGAATCAGCCAGTTTCTCTTACTGAATCAAAACCCTCTCTGCCAAACTTGCCTTTCAAAAATGGCGATCTAGTGTTCCAAAATGTCGTTTTTGCTTATCCTAAACGGTCCCAGCAAGACATTTTGCGGAATTTTACTTTCACTTTTCAACAAGGGAAAATCTACGGCATTGCCGGCAAAAATGGTATTGGCAAAAGCACCATTATTAAAACCACGCTCAAACTTTATGATTTAAAAAAAGGGCAAATATTAATTGGCGAACATAATGTGCGAAAAATCGACACTATTAGCCTTCACCAGCACATTTGTTATCAAACTAATCGCCCTACTTTTTTCCGCATGAGTATTGCCGAGAATGTTTATTATCCGCAAAAGTATAATAAAGCGGATCGGGAAAAATTG